CTCTCTACCTTATACTGAAGCCGTGTCTCTCTTGAAGCAGTGCTTGCCACTTTAGCTACCACAGAAGGCTCAGTGTGAGCACGGGTCACAGCCTCCTGGGCCCTGAGACCACAGGTCGCCACAGCGCCTACCCTGCCTTCTAAGTGAGCACTGGAGACCTGAGCTTAGGCAGTCACTGGCCCACTTCCTCCCCCAGGACTTTCACCCAAGCTGGCCCTGACCCCCAATCCTTCTGCCTCCTGGCCCTAGTGTGAGAAAGACGGGTGTAAGCTACCATCCTTAGTTTTAACATTTTAATAGCAGTATACTGGGGTGGGGCCCAGAGCTGGACACTCGCCACGCCTCCTCTCAGGGGCCCAATTGGACTGCCAAGAGCAGCATCTAGACTCCCCAGGAGCCCACAGGGGCATGTCCCGACAGGAAGCACCGTCCACAGACACAGAGTGGGAGAGGACAGGCTAGTGCCTGGAGATGAACACCACCTGCCAGCCCTGTGGGTCCCAGTTACCCAGAGCCTAGCCCTTCAGTGCCTGGGGCAGCTGCCTACTCTAGGGCTTCTGGCAAGGCAAGCTGTACTCCTGCTTCCCGTGCCCCTCCCCCAACCTGTATCCACACCTGAAGACCACACAGGCCTAAGCCTGAGCTAGAGGTGACTTTAGCTGCCCCAGGAGTACCCTCAATCTTTCCCACTGTAACCCCAAGAGAACATGCCCAGACCAAACCCCAAGAAACAAGGAGAGCAAAGCTATCCTCAGCTACCTGGGATGCTACCTCACAGCAGAGTCAGGACAGCTCCCCTGGGTGTAGAGCCACAGACCTACGCCCGCCCCGGCATTCAGGAAGCTGAAGGAGGCATGGGCTTAGGGACAGACAGGTCGGACTATATGGTGAGTTTAGGGCCAGCCTTAGCCACAGAAGTTGTAATATTCTATCTCAAAAAACAAAACAGTAGGCACAGCACTCACCATGCCAATCTGACAGCCAGTATCAATGAGGAAGGAGGGGCCTGGTCCAGGCCAGCTAGGTTACACAACACAGAGCCCTGTCAAAACCAGACATCCAAGGAGAGAAGCAACCTCACCAAGCTGACCTCTGACCTCCACAGGCACACAATGGCATGTGGCACCCATTCATGTGTACACCAGAGATACACAAAATCTTGCATCAAAAGAGCCATGCACGGTTACCACAGCACTCAGAATCCACAGCAGGAGGATCTGGTGTTCGAGACCACCCTAATCCACATGAGCCCTTGTCTCACAAATCTAAAGTTAAAAAAAGCAAGATAGGGTTTCCTCCCACATGAGAGTCAGTGGTGGTACCCCAGCTGGAAAATCACACCTATGGGCCTCCCTCCAGCACACACAGACCATCATCCTTTTGTCCCCTGGCTTGTGCCCTGCTGTCACAGGCTTGTATGGTTCCGTGTGGGACACCCTGGTTTACGGCTTTCACTGCAGATTCTGTGTGAGGCTGCATGCTGCCACTGGACTCTGACCCATGTCAGAGACTCTGGAATACCTGTCTTTTAACAGGATGTGACCTCAATCTGTCTCAGCCCTGGTGAGCTGTTCCGAGGGGCGAGGGTGTGGTAAGAGGCCCAGGGCAACCTGAAGGTCTGCTCCTTCAGAAGGGGAATGGAGGGTGACCAGCAGGAATGACCCCTTGACCCCTGGGTCCTAAATGACACCAACTTCCCAGTGTGGGGCCTCTTTCAGAGGAGCCACTCACAGCGCCTAATCTCTAATGGGAGCACCCAAGGCTTGGGGTCTTGGTGAACAGAGGACAGGAATGCCAAGCATCATGTTGTCCTCATGCTGTCACAGGCACTAGGGGCATCCCCTCCGGACTGGGGACCAGGACCTGCTCCTTTGCCATGTTTTGAGCATGAACAGATCTGACAGCTGCAGGTCCCAGGCGTGGCTCTTAGACAGCCACCTGTTCTGGGTGTTCTGTGCCCTCTCTGCCCAAGATGGAGCCTCTTAGTGACAGTGAAGTGTGGGAGACAGCAGAGAAGGAAGGAGTCCATAGGGTCTGATGGTCCCCATAGGCCTAGGGAACCTGTCCCACCCAAAGGAAAACAGCCAGGGGGTGTCTCCCCGGTTGACCAGGTGGCCACCCAAACACTTCATGTTTCTGCATTTCAGGAGCCAAGTGGAGACCTGCTGAGGTTCCCCAACACCACACACCTTAGGGTCAAGACGCCTCCCGGGGACCAGGATGGGGATGAGTCTGACCCACTGAGGACCAGGATAAGGATAACTTTGACCCACTGAGGTCAGAGCAACTCATGGGCAGGCACTGCTGCTCAGCCTCTGAAAGTAACAGGTGACAGAGGATAGGACAGAAAAGGGACAGAGTGTGTCCTAACCCACAGGGCAATGCAGGATGGGCTTCTTCACGGTGCAACCATCCTGGCTTTTACCAGGGTCACTGACATCAGGCCACCAGACCCTGAGTCCTCCTATATGGAAAAGGTCAACTCTCTATAAAAGGTGCTATGGCCATCTCATGGACACCATGCCCCACAAGCACCACAAGCACCACAAGCCCCAGGTTTGGGGTCTTCTCGGCTCACCAGCTCTCGGCTGAGTGCAGAGACACCTCTGTGAGCTTTGTGCCTATGGCTGTGCCAGCACCAACCAGCAAGCTCTCAGGCAAAGACTGCACAAGGCGCTGACTGGCAAGCTGATGTCCAGCCTACAAGGACGAGGCTTGGGTCCAGCAAGAGCATGGCCACTAAGCCAGTGGACAACAGATGTATAGGTGAGACCGGATGAAGTCCCACCCACTTCTCCAGCACGACCTAGCCCCAGGACTCTCGGGCTAGGGCCTCCTTTAAGTGGCCCCATCTGTCCCCCAGATTACAAGAAAGCCACTGGCCTGTCCTATACCATCTTGACACCTAGTCACAGCAGGACCCTACAACCCTGCTTCCCCTCACTCCTCCCACCGGGCTTACCACACAGCAGAGAGCAGGATCTCACCAGGCCCCAGAGCCTTGTAGAAAGGATGTTGGCTGCTGTGGGGGGAGGGGCCTAGATGGGCGTCTTAGCAGGAAGGAGTCAGAGAATAAATACCATCTACCATGCAGCACAGTGTCTGTCCAGCCTGTGGGAATCCACACTCCTATTCGTAAATTCCCCATGAACACAAATGGACACACTGGCTTCCCCAAAGCTGCGGACAGGCATGTGGGAGCAGTTCAATTTCCAAGGGACTTGCCTACAACCTTTGCCAGGGGCAGTGACTGTATGACTACAGAAAGTCACAAAAACCACATGAAATTCCAGACCATGGTGGACAGCACTGCCTGCTTGCCTCTAGGATGTGCTTAGAGCCCAGTGACCACTCCGAGGTAAAATCTAAGAAGATAAGAGGCCAACTCTCCTCTGGGCAAGCAGGCCCAGGGGATAAGAAAGAGACCCTATATCTCAGCCCACTTTGCGTGCAACAGGCCCTGGAGCCTAGATCGGCTTTGGAGCCTCTAGATCTGGCCCTCCCTGGAGGTCCTCAGAACTCTGCTCACTCCATCTGGTCCCCCATGTCCTCTGGCTCCCAGGAAATTGTCAGGGCTCAGCCTTTGTAGGAAGAGTGGAGAGTGAACAGTGTCTGTCCAGGCCCTGGAGACCCATGGCAGGCAGGCAGGCACTGCATACCTGTGATCTGGGGGGGTGGGGGGGACCCACGGGACCCATCCACCAGCTAGCCAGTACCACACAGGTCCAGGGGCAAGAGACACCCACAGATACATTCTCTACACCCAAGCAAATCCCCCAGGGCAGGCGAGGGGCCCAGTCAGTGTTCACCCTAGCACCTGACTTGTTCAGAATAATCTCTGTAGGCAGCTGAAGTTTCTCCCATACCAACAAGGCGTGCCTTCCACCTACCAGCTCCCAGAGTCCCCAGATATCCACTGAGGCTCCTGGACAAAGACCCTCATCAGCCTCCAGAGCCCTAAGGGATGGGCTGGGGAAGCAGACTGCAATCTAGAGAGGATTCAGACAGGTCTCCACCTACACACCACCTCCCAGACTGCTTTCTGCAAACTGCCATCAGGAGGCCACCAAGATGAAAAACATCTGCCCCCAACCTAGAAGTCCAGGACACCACAGAAACTGCTCTCGAAAGACAGTCTTTCTAATCCCATCTCTTATTGAAAAAGTCACCCATGCACAAAGTTGGGGCAGAGTGGGACTGGCAGGATCTAGCAACCTGCTCAGACATCTCACCCCTCCTGCCTTGATCCCTGTGTTTCCGGAAAACAAAGCCGGTGGCCAGAGCGGAAGGGGGAGGGCGTGGGCAGCTGGTCTAGAGTTCCCAAGCAGCCCCTGCCACAGGTCCTCCTCCACCTAGACAGGACCCTCTGTTCCAGACCCTAAGACCCCCCACCCCCCAGCTCTTCTCCTGCAACAAATCATCAAGGCCACAAATAGTGAAGAGTGAACATCAGGAAGAAGGGCTGGGAGTGTGAACGGACAAGGAGCCGAGTCCAGATGGCAGGAGGCCCGGAGACCAGGTGTATAGGGGATCTGGGGACGAGAAAGGGACATCCGGGGACACGGAGAAAAATGTGGGAGGGGGCTGCAAGTGGGCTGAACACCTAGGAAGGAGACACAGGAAACTGGGAAGTCAGAACGCAGGAACACGAATGGGGTTAGAGTGAAATGGAATACTAATTCAGAATGAGGGGTCTCCGGGCGAGGGTGGCCGGAAGTGGGGACGCCTGGGTGTCGCAGGTGAGCTGAGCACCCGGGAAACAGTGCCCACTCGAACTCAGAGACCAGAAAGCCAGAGCAAAGGTGGAGTCAGACAGTAAGGGACACTGAGGCAGGGTGACCGGAAGTGAGGGTCGCCCAGTGCAGAACACCAGTCAGGAATCTTAGGATGCGGACATGGTTCAACCCGGCCCGGAGTGGGGTTATCCGGGGTCAGTGGGAGTCACGGGGTCCCGGCGCGGCGGGGGTGGGGCGCGGTCGACCCTGCGCGCGCAACATTACCTGCGCCCCGCCTGGGGCCCGCGGGCGGTGGTGGCCGAGCTCAGCAGCGCGGCGTCCCCCGCTCCGGGCCCCGCGCACGTTCGCGCTCCGGCTCGGGCCCCCGCTCCGGCTCCCGCGCTACCGGGGCGGGCCTCGGCATGTTCGGCGGAGAGGGCCGGGCTCCGCCGCTCCGCCGCGCCCGCTCCGCGGAGCCCCCGCGCGCCTTACGCCGCCAGCGTCGGCCAGCGGGGGGCGGCGGCCTGCGCGCTCCACTGCGCAGTCGCAACCGGGCCGCGAGAGGCGTGCGCGTTCTACGTCACAGCGCGGGGCGTGGCCTTGAGGCACGGAACGCGGCTTTACGACCAATGTGGGTATGGTATTTGAGAGGGGCGCGGCGCTTTACGACGATCAGAGCAGTGGCTTGGAGGCGAGGGTGGAGCTTTACGGCAGTGTGCAGGCGTGGCTTGAAGATGGGCGCGGAACTTTAACCACAAGGTAGGGGAGTGGCCTAGAGGCAGGGTGAGCGCTTTACGACGGTTTGGGGGCGTGGCCTGGTGGCAGGGCGGAGCTTTACCACAATAGGGTGTAAGTTGGAGGAGGGAGCTTTATCTTAACGCAGGGGCGTGACCGAGGGGCGGACACGCCGTTTTGCGACCGCGGCTGTTGGCAAGGACTCGCCGCGCTACGGCCGCCGCGCTTTGCGGACAAGCCGAGGCCGCCGGTGTGCGCGTCCCGAGGGACACTAGAGACTGGTGGCGACGGGAGCGTACCTGAGCTGTGAATAGGACCAGCAGCGGCCCCACCCTTGTGCGGGCGTTGTTTACGCAATCCTCTAGGCATCGCCCTTTTGTTGCCATGGAGACGCGTGGCGGTCTCCCGGGCACCAACCCACAGCCATATCTGTGACATCACTGTCTCGCCACCTGACGTCACGGTGGACGTTATAGAGGGGCGTGGCCTCTTGTGGTTAGGGTTGGCGCTGGATCCGGAAGTTTTTCCATAAATGAAAATACTAAAGTTAACGGCCCGCGACGCAGCAAAATGTCGCTTTTGGTTAGCGGCAAGTGGTCAGAGTCAGGGCTGTCTGTCTCGGTTTTAAATCTTTAAATTGCTCTTTTCGGAGACAGTCTTGCTATGTAGTTCAGGCTGCCCGCAACTCTTAGAAATCCCTCTTGCCTCAGTCAAGTGCTAGGGTGACAGGCATGACCCCACTACCCCTTAGTTTTTCTCTTCGTTCTTTTGCATGGCGATATCTCCCCAGGTGCCAGAACCTCTGGGGTCCCAATCCGGCAGCAGGTCAACTGGGGCCTAACGGCAGCTCCCCTGCCAGCCTCCTGCACCTAGCACAGGTTCGTTCGTTCGCTTCCAGCTGGCACTCAGTCGGTGCAGCTTTCACCGTGCTTGTTCGTGCATCGCGATAATAAAGGCGGGGAGGGGCTGCTCAGCAGGGTCCTTATGTGAGACTCAAAACAGTGAACTATCCAGGGACTCCTCAGTCCTGGGGGAGGGCAGCCCAAGTTTCAGATGATAGCATGGATGGTGAAGTTCCAGAGGATGCATTGCTTTGGCCAGATAGCCCCGGAAAGGCCAGATCTTACACGCCCAGAGCCCAGTTTTTCCCTCATCGCTTAGGGCTTAGAAGAAAACAAACAAACAAAAAAACAAGAGGTGACTATGGTGTCTACCGGGAAGGCTGAATCCAGCTTTTAAGTAGCTGATCGCACCCCCAGAAGTTCCAGGCTGTAGAGAAGTCACCCCAGCCTCTTTCTCCTTTTGCTACAACGTGAGCTGTGATGTGATGGTTATGTCTCCTCTCAAGTCTGGTCTTCTGGGGGCCAGAACAGGAGTGTGCACACAGTAGGTACTCAACCTATGTGCAATGAGTGCTGGGAAGGGTGGGCTGGTTACTTACCTCTTAAACCAGCGAGTGGCTGTGGGGCTGAAAGTATACAGGAGCTGAGGCCGGGATTAGAGCCGGTTCAGGCAGCAGACCCACGTGTTATCCTCTCTGGTCCTCAGTACTGTCTTCCTCTAAGTTTAGGTGAACGGCAAGGTCTGTGGGTATATGGTGGGAATCCAAGAACGAATAAAATACTGCTACCTATCTTCCCAACTAGGTGCAAGGGACTGTTGTTGGCAGGGCAGTCCCCGCAGAACTTTGACCGGTCATCTGCTGCAGGCTGCAGAATCTTGGGTTCCCTCTTGTTTAAGACCCCCTTCTATGTTCTGATCCAGACGCTGAGGGTCAGGGAAAGACTATGGATTCAGCTGCCACTGGACCACCACCGTTTTCTTATGCTTCTAAGTGGCAGTTACCACGACCTCCCAATGTCAGCTATCGTGGGGTGCAGTGTCCCCAAATCATTGGTTTCAGGGCTGCAGCTAAGGGGGTGGTTTGAGCTCAGGTGGGGTGGGGAAGGAGGGAGAATGGGTGAAACACAGTTCTCCTGTGAAACTGTGAGGACCGGTAGGGTGCCAGGGAGAACAAAGGGGTGAGCATTTGGGGCACAAAGCTCCTAGACCTTACAACCACCTAACCTACCTGATTGGTGCAACATGATCCAACCCCTGGGACAATTTAGCCTAACCCCCTGCCCACTCTGATTGGCCCACCCTGAGCCGATGATCCTCCTGAGAACCATGATAGCCCAGAGTCCCTGATTAGTGAAGTTAGAGCAAGCCCAGAGACTGTGGGCAAACATCTGTAATCTCGCACTGAGGAGGAGGCTAACCTGGGCTACAGAGGCTGTGTCACAACATTTTTTTAAATGGCAAAGAGTCGGTGAAGTACGCTGGAACTATTCATGTTTGGGTCAGCTTCGGGTGAGCTGCCAGCTCAGGTTGCTTTTCTGAAATGCTGGAATTTTCTCCCATTCTTCTTCCTCTCACTGTATTTGTTGGGTTTTTGTTGTAGGTCCCCAATGGCCTGGGACTCATGCTCTGTGGCCCAGGGTGAGCTTGAGTTTGTAACAATTTACTTGGTTTTGGGACAACAGGTGATAACACAGTCATGCTCAGCAGGTGTTAAGTTTTGTGTGTGTGGTGTGTGTGTGGTGCATGTGCACTTGCGTGTGCCACAGCCCATGTTAAGGTCAGCGGCCTTTATGTAAGGTGTGAGGAGTGAACTCAGGTTGCTGGGCCGTCCCAGCAAGCCAAGAATTTTTTGTTTGTTTGGTGTGTGTGTGTGTGTGTGTCTGTAGACAGAGTTCCACTGTGTAGTCCAAGCTAACCTGAAACTATGTAGTCCTGGACTCACACAGTCCTCCTGCTTCAGCCTCCCATGTACTAGAAATAAAGTTTTGTGTGCACCACCAAGATTTTTTCTATGTTTACTTTTATTTCATGTGTATTGGTGTTTTGCCTGCATGCATGTCTGTGTGAAGGTGTCAGGTTCACTGGGACTGGAGTTTCAGACAGTTGTTAGCTGTCATGTGGGTGCTGGGAATTAAACCTGGGTCATCTAGAAGAGCAGCCAGTGCTCCTAAACAGCTACACTCTCTCCACAGCCCAAGGTTTTTTTTCCAGAATATCATGGCCTCGAGCCACGTATGTAGCAGAGGATAACCTAGAACTCCTGGTCTGCTGAGAACTGGGTACTAGGTAAACACTGATCCCTGGCCCAGACACTGGGGTTGTGTTGTCTGCAGCAAGAAAACCCCAGCAGACCAGGTGACTGTCATTTGCTTGGAGTGGAGTTCCTAAGCAGCTGGAGGAAGCAGAGGGAGCTCAGCCTGACAACATCCTGTCGCAAGCAGAAGGCACAGGATGCTGAACAGATGACAGCTGCCCTCGCCCTGCACTGGATTCTCAGAGGCTCTGGTTACAAATGGCTTCCTCACTCTGAGTGCAGGATGCCCAGTCTTGCCCCCCAGCCCTGGTAGTTTCCCTCTGAGGGACAGGACAGTCTGGGTCACCCAGCAGGGACCAGCCTTGGAAGAGAATGCTGTTGTTTTCTTTATGTCGCTCCTGGAACTAGAGTCCGAGCTAATCCCCAGGGAGGTGTATGGGAGCCGTAGGTGCTGCCTTGCCCAAGTTCACCTTGCCTTGGGATGTACCTGCAGAAAGTTCTGGGGCTCAGCCTCATGTGTAACACACAGAGTTGGGATTGAGCTGCCTGTGGCTTCCTTTGGAGGCCACTTGACTTGATGCCCTGTATGTAGCAGAGGCCATCACTGACGGTGAGGTGAACTATGGAGCACGATACCTGCCCATCAGTTGATTTGTGATACCCACCCTGCCCACAGACTGGAAGGCATCACTGGCTGGCCGACTGCTTGCTTACTGCCTGTCCTATGCAGAGCATAGAGGAAGTCATCCATCCACTGACTGCTCATGTCGGCCGGGAGCTTGTTAGACTGAGTGGTTGGTTGGTTGGTGATTTGTGATGTCTACATGGGAGGGAAGAGACAAATACATTTCATCCACTTACCATCCTGAGACAAAGTGAGCTCTGGCAGGGAGCTCCCTGAAACCTTGATTCTGACAACAGTGATTCTATATACACTTATCTTCTATTTCCCCACTTTAAAGCATTCTAGAGCTTTCTAAAGATTAGAGGAACCATCCTAAATGAGAACTCCAGGGAGAAGATTCCGAGTCACCAGCCATTGATGGAACTTCTTCCTGGCTTCAGAGATGAGCATGTCCTGCACTGTGTCCCCAGCCAGCAGCAGAGGTGACCAGGACACCAGAAGGAGAGGTGGCCGGGATGTTCCAACACAGAACAGCTCAGCCCAGAGCTTCAGACTGTTACCCAAACATGTAGACAGCTGGGGCGAAGGTGGGACAGCACTTGAGAGGCAGAGGCAGGAAGATTTCTATGATTTCAAGGCCAGCCTGATCTACAGAGTGAGTTTCAGAAGAGGCAAGGCTACACAGAGAAACCCTGTCTTGATGTCTCCTCCCCCCAAAAAAGGTGGAGGCAAGAGAGTCAGGAGTTCAAGACCAGCCTTGGCCACACAGCATGTTCGAGGCCAGCCTGTGCTACAGGAGACCTTGTTTAAAACAAAAACCTAGAAACGATTAAAAAGGAAAAAGGCAGAGACTGGGTCACATGGTAGGATCATACTAAGGACTTTGGAGGCAGGGCTCAGTGTGGGTGGAGCAGAGCCCCTGGCCTTTGTTCCAGGAAGGGCAGCGTCTGGGGCCTGTAGAAGACAGAGGGCCCTCTGGTGGTTGAAGGCAGAGTGGCACCACAACCATGGAGAGAGGATGGGGTGAGAACTATGCTGTGTATGTGGCTGTGTGTAGACACAAGCTTACAGGGGAAGCTTCAGTAAGCTGGTGCCCTGTGGCAAGCTTGTCTCTATCCTGTGAGACAACACAGAGGTCAAGGAACAAAGACGGATGGTCCCAAAGTGGCCATTTTGTAGGGAGTCCAGCCCTGCCTGCTTCCAGGGGCACATGGCAGCCAGCGACCCTGAGTCCTTGGACTGGTGGATACGTCACCCACCTCACTGTGGTCCATCTCACAGCAGGTACCTGTCTGTCACTGTGTATGCTTAGCATCCAGGTGAACAGCAGAGCACGGTGGGGCTTGCCTACAATCCCAGCCCTGGGGAGGCAGAGGCAGGACGATCCTTGGAGCTCACCAGCCAGCCTAGGCAAATCTGTGAGCTTCAAGTTCAGTGGAAGACGGTCTCAAAAGAGCGAGGCGGATAGCAATAGAAAGCAGGAGGTGATGCCAGCCTCTAGGCTCCACACTGCATGTGCACACACACACAACCTCCCCACACTGCATGTGCACACACACAGCCTCCCCACACTGCATGTACACACACATAGCTTGTGCCTTCTCATCCACAGATATAGACCCTGCTGCAGAAAGAGAATTTATTTCTAGAATATTCTCACATAACAAAACTGACTATGGCATGTGAATGCACACACCCAGGGGTGGGCAGGGAAGAGCTGCAGGTATCACCTATGGCGGGCACTTGACTTCACCCCCATGCCACTCTGAGATGGGGTAGAGGCCATGCCCGGTTTGGCATGATACTGGCATGCGAGGGACATGGCCCTGCAGAGAGGCCTAGGGACTTGGTGACCTCGCTAGTAGCATCAGGTCATGAGGAAGAATATTGAGTCCAATGCCATCAGAGGTGCTGTGGACATTCCAAGACTCTGTTTGGCTCTCCTGGTGAGGCCACAGCTGCCCTGGGAAGGCAGAGGGCGTGGGGAGGAAGTACAGGTCTCTCTAAGGCACACATCTGTCCAGGCAGTCCTGTGGCTGGGGGTATGACCTGCGTGCAGCAGAGCCTGTCCCTCTCTGCCAGTTGCCCACAGAGAGAGAGGGGTCTCCTGGGGGCCAGAGCACCCTCACCCAAATGGATCAGGGTCTGCAAGTGGGCAGAGGATCCTGGGTAGTGGAGGGGACAGCAGGTTGTCACTGCACGAGGGAGGGGACAAGGAAGTAGCAGGACCCAGAGGAACATGGGTATAGTGGATGGCAGAGCGGAGGCTGCAGGCACAACCGCCATGCTGACCGTGCTCACATACCTGTGGACACAGCAACTGCTATGCTCCTGACCATCCTCACACACCTATGGACACAGCGCTCTGGCCTAGCTCTCTCCATCTCAGCAACACACTGGAGAGGAGCTTGGAGGCTGAGGAGGCCTCTCCTTGCACAAGCTGGGGGTTCCTACCCTCTTAACAGGTGGAGCAGAGCAAACCCAGCCAGGCACCAGGAAGATGGCAGTGGAAAATGGCTGTTGGGCAGTGCTTGCTGAGGGCTCAGTCAGGAGATGAACATGGGCCAAGGACCTCCTGGGACCCTGGGGAGATGCTCAGGCCTCAGGACCAAAGGTGGTGGCAGGAGACGGAGCCATGGCGCTGGGGCCAGCCAGCCGCCTAAGGCCAGTGGCCTCCACTGGAAGAATAGCTGGGGACAGTGGGGTACTCAGGCAGGCTGTTCCCAGAGAAACTGTTAAACTGGGCCTCCCTCGATGGTGGGTTCCTCCAGGTGCCAGCGCTCCACTCTGTCTGTGCCTTTTGGAGGCTTCCACCAGCCCCACGGTAGATCCTGTGCACCTGAGAGTCAGGGGCAAGGACAGAGAAGAGGAAGTCAGGAAGGCAGAGAGGCAGGAGGATCTCTGAATTTGAGGCCAGCCTAGACTACAGAGTGAGTTCCAGGACAGCCTGGTCTACAGAGTAAGTTCCAGGACAGCCAGGGCTACACAGAGAAACCCTGTCTCGAAAACAACAACAACAAAAACAAACAAGAATGGAAAAGTGACTCTGGGCTGGGCGGGGTGGCAGCCTGGCACATTCAGAAGGCCCTAGGTTCATGCCCATGAAACAAACTGCAAAAAAAAGGCTTTTAAAAAGGTTTATCTTGGGCTGGAGAGATGGCTCAGTGGTTAAGAGCACTGATTGCTCTTCCAGAGGTTCTGAGTTCAATTCCCAACAACCACATGGTGGCTCACAACCATCTGTAATGGGATCTGATGCCCTCTTCTGGTGTTTCTGATCATAGCAACTGTGTACTCACATTCATAAAATAAATAAATCTTTAAAAA